CTGGTTAGTGCTTCTCTTTTGCTTATCAACACTTCTACCCTAACTTACTATGTTGGCACTGGCTTCTCATTGCTCTCTGCTAGACCCATCCCTTGCCATTCCTATAATTTCCAGTTTCTCTCATGCCAAGATGTAAATTGGCGTTTTGTTACAATTAAGATAAATTTTGCTTAATTTTCTGCCTCTAATTCACTTGCAATTGGCTCCAACTAGTAACCATACACCAGTTTATCATTTGGGTTTCCTGTACAAAGTGTTGTAAACCACATACTGTAGCATGAAAGGATTCTAGAGTGCACAACTGCATTTGTGTTTGTCTTTGCTCGAGGAGTCAGATATCTTCCTAATCTAGTTTTATTTCCCATTTAATTCCATCCATTAATCTCCTCATTGGTCTTCCTTCAGGTTCTGGGTTCAATTCCCGGACCAGGGTCTTTCTGCATTGAGTTTGCATGTTCTCCCTGAGCATGCGTGGGTTCTCTCCGGGTACTCCTGCTTTCTCCCACATTCCAAAAACATGACTGTTAGGATAATTGGCTTCTCTACAGTCCCCTTAGGTGTGAATGTGTGAGTGAATGGTTGTTTGTCATGTTTGTCTCTGTGTTGCCCTGCGATGGACTGGCGACCTCTGCAGAGTATACCCCGCCTCTCGCCCATTGACTGCAGGAGCTAGACATTAGCACCCCTTGCGACCCAACTCGGGATAAGCGTGCCAGAAAATGGATGGATGGTCTTCCTTCAAGCCTCCTGCCTGGCATTTCCAGCCTTACAGTCATCAGTGTAGCCACCATCCCTCCTTTGTACATATCCAAACCATGTATTTTTTTTTTTTGTGGGTTTCCTGTTTAGCCAATAGTCCAGGGAATATATGTCCCAGAGCTAGCTGATAGCTCAACAGCTCTGTTTTCACAAGCAGACCATTAAGAGTGTGTCAATAAAATTGTGCTTGATGTTTGTATATTAAGCTTTATTGAAAGCTATTTAGGGAGTAAAACCATATACAACGGATATAGAGATGGAAAGAGAGGTATACTGTAGGACAGATGTCTGGCCTGTCTGGGTTTATCTTGAAGACATTTAACAAGAGCTGACCATCTGATGATCTCATTCCTGATCCTATTCATCCTTGTCACTTTTAAAGAGAACCTGACCTTCATCTTTGCTATCTACAGTCTTCCTTATTTCTCTTCCTCAGTTACACTGTCTTTACATAATACATCATTGCTGGTCTTGCCATTGTCTTATACACCTTTTCTTTATTGCTTGATACTGTTTTATCACACAAAACACCCGATACCGTTCCACAGTGGACCAGCTCTACACCCTCTGCAGGGTGCTTGAGGGTTCATGGGAGTTTGCCCAACCAGTTCACATGTGTTTTGTGGACTTGGAGAAGGCATTTGACCGTGTCCCTCGTGCTGTCCTGTGGGGGGTGCTCCAGGAGTATGGAGTCGGGGGCCCTTTATTAGGGGCCATCCGTTCTCTGTACAAGGATCGGTGCGGCTGCTGCAATAATGCGGATGCTGCACAGGTCTGTCGTGGTGAAGAGAGAGCTGAGCGAAAAGGCAAAGCTCTCAATTTACCGGTTGGTCTACGTTCCTACCCTCACCTATGGTCATGAAATTTGGATCATGACCAAAAGAACGAGATCCCGGACACAAGCGGCTGAAATTAGCTTTCTCCGCAGGGTGGCTGGGCTCTCCCTTAGAGATAGGTTGAGGAGCTTGGTCATTCGGGAGAGGCTCAGTGTAGAGCCGGTTCTCCTCCACATCGAGAGGAGTCAGTTGAGGTGGCTCGGACATCTTCTTCGGATGCCCCCTGGACGGCTCCCTCAGGAGGTGTTACAGGCACGTCCCATTGGGAGGAGGCCCAGGGGGCAACCCAGGACACGCTGGAGAGACTATGCCTCTCGACTGGCCTGGGAACGCCTAGGGCTTCCCCCAACAGAGCTGGACGAGGTGTCAGCGGAGAGGGAAGTTTGGGAGTCTCTGCTCAGTCTGCTGCCGCGGTGACCCGGTTCCGGATAAAGCTGGAGACGATGACGACACCCGATACCTTTCTCCACCCATCTAAACCTGCTTGGACACACTTATTTACATCTTTTTATCATTGAATGGGACTTACGACCCCAATAGTTAAAATAAGTCACAGTGCAAACATCATAGTCTATCGAGATTCTTGTGTAGCCTTGTCTGCCAACTTTTCCATCACCACAGCAAAGGAGAAGGGACTCAGAGCCAGTCCCGGATGCAGCACACCTTTCCACTGCCTTGAAGCTGTCACACTTATCCTGAACCACTCTAACGTATATTAGCTCTACCTCAGACTTCTTCCTCATAAAGTACCACAGCTCATCTGTCTACACTGTCACATTCTTCCTCATGGTCTACAAAAACAGAGTGCAGCTCAATCTGACTCTCTATCTACTTCAAAATCCTCTAAGCAAATAGTGCATCTGTAGTATTTTTTTGTTTTTGTTTTATATTTTTGGGGGGAATTCAACTTAGTCTCAGTCTGCTGCCACTAATAACTTCATTGTATGGCTCATCAACTTTATTCTTCTGTAGTTTTTACAACTCTGTACATCTCCTTTGTTTTTGAAGATTGGTGCAAGCACACCTGTGCATTCCTCAGGAATCTTTACTCTCTCAAATTTAATTGTAGTTGTCTAAAACTCTACTGCTGTCTCTAGACACTTCCATACCTGCAAGAGTAGGTAACTAGTCACTGCCTTTCCACTCGTCATCTTTTTCATTTCTTTCCTTATGTCATCCATACAAATCTTTTCTTAGCACATCTTCTGCTCATTGTTCTCTCTAAATTCCCTATTTCATCATCTCTTCAAAGTACGCCTTCCATCTTCCAGTTGCTATACTTTCCCTTAATGCTGCATATCTTTGTACTCCTGGCGACTCAATCCTCACATTGCCCCACTTCTTCTAGCTGATCAACCAGCAAGTGTCTTTGCAACTTGTCCTTCCAGACGAAATGCAAAGTACTATTTTTTCCTCCATGGTAGTATTAGTTGTAGTTGTCCAGTCCCCTGAAAGCACATCCTCACCACCCAGAGCCAACCTCAACTCCTAAAGCCACAAAGATTTCATCCTTTTTCAGCTTCCCCCATTTTGTCCTCTGCGCTTTCTTTGTCCTCTTTAACTTCCTCACCATCAGTCATTCTGCACATCACCGTCCTGTGCTGTCTGTCAACATCTCACCAACTACTACCTTGTTTCACTGAGTCCCTTCCAATTATATTCCCTACACAAGATGTTATCTACCTGTGTGAACCTGCTTCCCTGACAAACCCCTGCTTCAAATTAATTCCTACACAATTTCTCCACCAATCCATACCTTCTAAAAAAATGATCAGAAATAATGATTATAGTATTAGTATTTTCTACTAGAATTAGTATTTTCCCTTCCAGTAAGCAAGAGGACAGATTTCGATTCATTCTCTCTTCTTCTCCCTTATTTCAAATACAATTTGTAATTTCGAACTGTAAAAAAAAAGTTTTCTGTCAAAGAAAACCGAGGAGAGTGAACCAAGTTAACAGCAGTCCCTCCTGAATGAGTATCCAGCGTCAGTGCATGTCTCATTGACTTTGCAGCTATCCCTCATAGAATATATATATATATATATATATATATATATATATATATATATATATATATATATATATATATATATATATATATATATATATATGAATTAACCATGACATCAAGACAGACTAAAAAGCTTTTTTTTTTATTTCAGACAGAAGGACTTAACCGAATGTGGATAAAGTGCATGAGAAGTGAGGCCATTGCTACTGTTGCCCCATGGTCAACTATAATGATGGGTGAATCTTACCAGCTACTTAAAACGGGTCAAATTGTGACAATTTTTAGTGTTTATTATACTGCAGTTGAAGGGGCTGTGCGACTAACTCTGCTCACAGCTGACCAATATTACAACCACTTGGTTTCTATTTCCATGCTAATATCCCACCCAAAAAAAGAAGGATAGTAGTAATATCTGTGCAAAGTAATCTGAGCCATGGCAACCACAAAGCAGGCTTAACTTTGGAGCAACAAGATTTTGCTATTTTTTTCTGAAAATACCTTAAAGCCCAACCATCAGAGCACATTTCATGTCATATTCAAATCAGTTAACCAACGACTGGAGACATAGAATATTGACTGAGGAACCGATGAATATTGACAAAATGACTCAATGTTACGTCAGGCAGAAAACAGGTACAGTCAAACAAATGAGCGAGTGCAGAAGCAAATTAGCATGGAAAACCCATAATAGCAAAAACAACATAATATGGCAAGAACCTAAATGCAAAACTAATAACAGGTGTACGGCAGAACCAAAACAGAAGAAAATCCATCCATCCATCCATCCATCCATCCATCCATCCATCCATCCATCCATCCATCCATCCATCCATCCATCCATCCATCCATCCATCCATCCATCCATCCATCCATCCATCCATCCATCCATCCATCTGCTTCCAGTACGTTCCCAGGTCGTTATCTGAAAGGTTTCGTTTTGACCAGACCTGATATTCAATGAGGACATTTTGAAATGACCTGGACAAAATCAGTAAAAGTAGCTTTAAATTAAAATGAGAGACTATGAATGAGACATCCCTTAATGTGTCATGTCTAATTTCAGAAGGGTTAAGAAATATTGTTAACCTGCTGAGTTGTTCACATTAGTTTATATGATTAACATACCAGCAATTTATCCACATGAAATACATTAAAATCTCTTCTAGAAAAATCTTATTGTAGAGGAATTTAAACCTCTCTCCAGTAATAAAGAGGATAACAAAAGATATGTGGCTGATCATCACTGACATACAGTAAGGAAGACAAATGGTGGCCTCATGTTCCTGGAACATTTATTGTGTAAGAGCTCGCACATAACCAGAGGAATATGGGTGTTCCTCTTCCCAGAGGTTTAAGATGTCAGGGCAGAGTAGTGGCGTAAAGGTGCATTGTCCTAGGTGGGGTGGAGGAATAAAAAAGGCAGAAGAAGCTCTTCGATGACAAAGCTCATCAGGAAAAGACGCGGACAGATATCCAGAAAGGTAAAGCCTTTGCTGTCTTTGGGATGGCAGACTCCAACAGACAGGGAAACATGAGGTGGGTTAAATTCTGTCTCCTTTAGTTTATTTTATTCTATTTTGGGTTGTAACAAAAAATATCTCAGCTAGTTTATGCAACAAAGCCACAAATTATTATGTTTTTTTATTGATCTGTTCTAGTGTGACATTTGGAGGAGGAAAAAATAAGCAAAAATATTTTATGAGTAACAAAATGTGTGTAATACAAAAATGGCTTTGTGCAGCACTATATTTACTTATATACTTGGATGTGGATGCATTACCAACATTGCAACACAAAAGTATAATACATAACAGCAGTTATAACAACATATTAGGAGTAAAAACTTGTTTTTAATGGTAAGCTGAATGAAAGAGTGTTGTTAATTCATATTTAAAATGGCTGAGTCCATACGGAACTGTTCAAACTGGATAACATCTGCGACTAAAAATAAAAAAAAAACATCTGATGATGAGACCTTAAGTCTCTGTTGGTCTTTCCTGGTTACCTGAAGTAATGAAAATTACTATTACAGAGCATATATTACATATCATACTTATTAACCCTCTGTCTCCGGACTTTAATATCAAGCTGCTTTAAGTTCCTACTAACTATATTTAGATTATTTTAGCTAACCTTTGCAAGTTTACATTTGAAATGTCCACATTTTAAGAGATCTTAAGCTCAACTCAATCTTGCTTCACAGTAATGAGTAATGAAAAAAAAAATTAGAGTTTTAAAAGGTTTTTGTGCTGTATCATTTATTAATTAAAGGTATTATGCCTTCTTTAATTTAGCTAGTTACTACCCGCCTTCGGATCTAGGAATACTGTTGCAGACAAGATAATTATCTTTGTTCAGTAATTTTGAAGCAAAATTCTGTAGAAAGATTATCAACATTTGATAAACCTGTTAATGCACTAATTATAATATATTATATTTTATATTATAATAAATAATGTTTTAATCAAAATTATAAACTGTAAAACAATGAGTTTGATTGTTCTCACAGCATGAGTTTAGACTTTAAATGGATAAATAACTGATGTCTTCATTTTACATTTTTAATTAAATTAGACAGTCTTATTAATGTGATGATGTTGCCAACCAAACAAATTAACTGGTGTTAAACAATACATAAAATTGTAAAAGAGGAATTTCATCCATCTATTTCCTACTCAAAAATGTGTAGGAGGGAGCAAATGCTCAGTAATTCCTATAAATATTTAAACCATCCTAGAGGCCATGCAATCTACACTGCCATTAAACTCTACTCTATAAATGAAAATTGTCTGTCATACTAGACTATCCAGACCTTTGTGCCACTATATATCCTAGTAACTTTGCATTTATAAAAATATACCACCTTTTGGACTATGTAGAAATTCATATACTGAAATCTCGCAAATGAGTGACAGAAATATTCGCTCTTTTCATTGCTAACAGTATCGATCCCAAGCTGTCTAACCTGATCAAAATTCTCTTTTTTCAGTTAATATATGTTTAATTTCTTTTTAAAGATTTATATTAATACTTATTTCTAAAGTTTTTTTTCTCTCCTATTTTTTGGCAAAAAAATGTTGATTGATAAATTGATTGATCAGCAAATATAAAAGGTTAATGGATGGGTTTATGGAAACTGTATAAGTTGACTCCAATGTGTATTAGGTAATAATTTGGTAAAAAAAATTGTGTTACTATTCTTACCACACTGCTAGGGAGTTTCCTTAACAAAGACCGTTTCCACAAATATACAAACTACGAAAGTTTTCAGTCTTTAAGTAACAGTGACAGCAATAAATGGTAAAACAAAACAGAGAGGAAGAAATTGGACTAAAATGTTTTCTAAAATGGAGTTACTGTTGTGATGCATGAACTAATGCCATAAGGCTTAATTGCACTTGTATAGCTTATTACTGTCCCAGTTGCAGTCCCCACGGGGTGGTAGGTGATGCTGTATGTATGTAACTGGAGTCTATTTAGACATCCATCCACAGCATTCTTCATAGACAGACAAAAGCCCTGCATGTCCTGAGGGAAGTATTAACTTTTACTCTGTAAGATACAGTAATAAGAGCAAAGAGGAGGTTATCATCATTACCATCCAGCTTTATGATAATCATGTCTTTGAGTTATTTCCTGTAAACATATAATGAAGAATCCACTGGACTTGAAAACCAAGTCCAGTGGATATTTTTTGAATTTTTACGGAATAATGAAGATAGACAAAGTTTTCTTGCACATTTGGGCAATAATTTGATTATAATGTGTTTGATTAGAGTTGATTTGTCTGGAATTAATCCTCTTGTAATGAAACTCAACATACATTTACTGATGATAAAGTTCAGAAATGTAACTACATTTTTATGAAAGTCTAAATGACCAAACAGATAAGCAGAAATTACAAAGACTGTCCTTTTGGACCCAAGCATTGTTCAAGCCAATAAAATAAGATGTGTATTATATATGACTTATTTTGTTTGTTTTTCCTTTAGGTTTTCTATCTTGTGGCTGTTTACTCTGTTTGCGTTCCTGATGTACTGTTCTGCAGGTATCTTGATAAAAAAGTTTCTTTGCTTTTATAGTTCATATTCAATGGAAATAGTTGAGTAAATGCAATAATTTCAAAACTTGAGGGAACTTTTGACAACATTTTCTAACTAAAATCATATTTCTCTTTTTCAGTTGTTGTTGACAAGAGCGAATGTGAGGCACAAGGCCTTCAGTGCCATAATCAGGCAGACTGCATGAGGATTAGAAACAACTTCACCTGTGTCTGCCGTGTGGGTTACCAGGGTGATGGTCTGCAGTGCAGTGACATCAATGAATGTATAAGTGCCATGCACAGTTGTCACTCAAAGGCCCGCTGCATCAACTCCCAAGGCAGTTTTGACTGCATCTGTCTTGATGGATATGTTGGTGATGGTAAAATCTGCCAGGACATCAATGAATGTGAAACGAACAATGGGGGTTGTGACCCCAACGCACTCTGTACTAATTTGGATGGTGGACGAAGGTGTCAGTGTTATATCGGGTTTACAGGTAATGGCTTCCAGTGCACAGACATTAATGAATGCACAAACCAAAGGATCTGCCATTGGAATGCTACCTGCATCAATAACCCTGGCTCTTATGGGTGCACATGTAATACTGGCTATAAAGGAAATGGAAACTACTTGTGCATGGACATAGATGAATGTTCAGAGAATCCTCGTTTGTGTCCATCTTCATTAGGATACCAAGGCTGCGTAAATACACCTGGATCTTTTCGTTGTACATGCAGCAATGGCTTTCAAACTGCTGGACAGAACTGTGTTGACATCAATGAGTGTGCTAACAATATTTGCAGTTCTTTTGCAAATTGCGAAAACTCCATTGGGTCATTCAAATGTACCTGCAAAAGTGGGTTTGTTGGAAATGGAATTACATGTGCAGATGCAAATGAATGCATTACAGGCAATGAATGCCACTCCCAAGCTCTTTGCATCAACCGGTTAGGCAGTTATGAATGCTCATGCCTAGAAGGTTTTGTTGGAGATGGACGACGTTGTGAAGATGTCAACGAGTGTGAACAGCCAAACATTTGCCCATCTTTTACTACCTGTGTGAACAACCCTGGGTCATATAAATGTGACTGTGGCAGTGGCTACATATTAAACAACTCCACATGCAATGACATTGATGAATGCAAAACAGGGCGCTGTAGCCCCTTTGCAAACTGCACTAATTCCCCTGGTTCCTTTTCTTGTCAGTGCTTGTTGGGCTATGAGGGAGATGGTTTTACCTGTGAGGATATAAACGAGTGTTCTCTGAATTCAAAGTGCCACTCTAAGGCCATTTGCTCTAACTTTCCTGGTTCTTACAACTGCACTTGTATGGCTGGGTTCACCGGGGACGGTGTTCTTCAGTGCAATGACATCAATGAGTGCCTAGTGAATAACGGAGGTTGCAATAACAATGCTATGTGTGTCAATAACCAAGGTTCTTTTTCTTGCCAATGTGAGTCAGGTTTCAACTTGATTAATAAGACTATATGCCAAGACATCAATGAGTGCAAGGAAAGGAGCAATACATGTGGAGTGAACGAAGAGTGCAAAAACACTGAAGGGTCATATGAGTGCCCCTGCCAGACGGGATACTACCGTCCTGCCATCGGCATGACCTGTGCTGACCTGGATGAGTGTAAAGACAAACCATGCCATGTCAATGCTACATGTCTCAACACCATTGGCTCATACACCTGCACTTGTAAGAGAGGCTTTACAGGGAATGGCTCCCATTGTTGGGACAAAGATGAATGTGCCGTGGACCGTACGTGCCACCCCAGAGCCACATGCACCAACGTTATAGGGGATTTCTTCTGCTCTTGTGAGCCAGGGTTCACTGGTGATGGATTTTCCTGCCAAGATGTAAATGAGTGCTCCCTCCCCAACACAAACTGTCCTCATTTCTCACAATGTGTCAACTCTCCTGGTTTTTATGTGTGTTCATGTTTGAATGGTACTGTGGCCTTTAATGACACCTGTGTGCCACCCGTTTCCCTGTGTGATCCTCCTTGCCATAGTAAAGGACTGTGCCACCTCTCGCCCTCTGGATATCAGTGTGTTTGTGACATTGGTTTTGTAGGCAACGGAGTGACTTGTGCTGACATCAATGAATGCCAGACGGGAAATGTTTGTCCTGAAACTGAAACTGAGTGTTTGAATACCCCTGGATCATTTTCCTGTGTCTGCAAACAAGGCTACACGCGGAACGGGCAGCAGTGTGTTGGTAATATAAAAAAATACTTTCAATTTGTTATAAAAACAATGGAACATAATGTTTGAATTTGGGTTTAAGGAAACTGAAAAATGTATATGCCCCTTCTAGTATATCACACAAATATAAGCTTGGTAAATACATAGTTCTATTTTCAAATAATTTTTTCTATTGAAAGGAAACAAATTCATCATTAACAATTTGATCCTATAAAGAAAATATCAGCAACTCATTAAATCAGTGATATGTTAGACAGACAGACAAACTAAAGAGTGGTGTTTAACCTTAGAAGTTACTGGCTAGCTTTCTAAAATTACTTCAAGAAAGCATCAACAACTGGCATAGTAAGGAGGTAAAAAAAAGAGACCAAAAAGATAATATTTTAAGTACTGCAGGCCTCACTTGGTTAAGGTCAAAGTGTTAGGCCAGTATTGGGCAGTATTCCCCAAAGTCGGCCCTCGAGGGCTGCTGTCCAGCAGCTTTGAGAGGTTTCCCTTGTTCACTGCAGTATAACAGTTTAGCAATAGCCTGTTAATCAGATATCAATGGAAAGCAGCTGTCCTTAAGCAGGAAAACTTCTAAAAAACAAGAAAATGTGGCAAACATAGAAGGATTTGACAACCACAGCCTGCTGAAAAGAGCACAAAAGTATTTTTAGATTTACCAAATGTCCTCTGAACAAAGCTTCTGGGGAAACATTTTGAGGATGGATTCGACAAAAGTAGAATTTTTCAGAAGGCAGACCGGCATAAAGCTTCGTTAACCCTCAGGAAAAATAAAGGCTGTATATGTATGCCAATATTTTGCAAACTAAACCAAACATGTTGCTGCATAACCCAGCAGCATGCTGTTACAAGGTGAAGGAGCAATCCCATATCTGGATTTCTAAAAACTATAAAGGTCTAGGCGTGGTATTGAAAAATCCAACCTAAAATAAATTAAAATGCTTTTGCAATACTTGAGAGAGGCTGTTAATGACAGAGAACACTCCACATTGGTTAAGTTTAAAAATCCTCTGCCAAAAGTCCAAGTTTCTTAGCTCCAATTTGAAATACTCCAAACTACTTATAGTACCATTACCTGATTACAGATCCTGCTACCAAGAGATGCACAACAAAAAATTGGTTTAACTAAAATAAAAACTAAAATTTGTTTAACTAAAAAATTAAAACCTTTAAAAATAACTTTTGTTATTAATTTGGGTTATGCTTTTCTACTATAAAAATGTGTTCAATCATCTTGAGCATAATAAATTTGCAAGTAGGAAATATGTTTCTGTAAACTAACAAATTCAGCATATCATTAAGAATGGTAATGTGGAACAGATTATTCTTTATTATCACAGCACCAGTAATTGAAATACATAAAATGTTGTCTTCATGTGTTAAAGGCAATAAAGAGAGCAGTTGTTATTCAGTTTGACAAGAGCCAAATTCCATATGATCAGAGGACCTCCAAGAACTTAGCTTATGTGGGTAATTTTCTGGTTTAAACTGGTCAGTGTCTGTGAAAGCTGGTGTAAAGAGTGGATATTAGTAAACTTAGGGACAGGTTCATGGGCACCCAAGACTTACGGACACATGTTGGGAGACAAGCTAAATTGAATTCAACTACTTAAGACGATATTTTTGATCTGATAATAGAGAGGGTATCAAAAATATTCAGAGTTTCCTAGGTCTATATACCTGACTGGAGTATGTTTGACACAAAATCAAATTTCAGTAATCAGATCTTAGTACTTAAAACTGATCTCTGATTTGAAATGATTTTTAAACATTAGAAATGTCTGCTTTAGTACATTTTTTAGATAGCTAACTTATTCACTCTCCTTCTCTCTTCTTACACTGTATATGAACTCTCCAGATTTGAATGAGTGTGACACTGGGCAGCACGACTGCAGTGAGGTTGCGCAATGCATCAACACAGTGGGCAACTACTCCTGCTTTTGCCGAAATGGTTACACTGGTGACGGGAAGAACTGCTCTGGTACGTATCAGTATTTTACATGACTTTACATCTTTAGCATCAGTAACTCTTGCTCCCATATGTGGGCTTTAATGTGAGATTTCTTTTAGCACGTTTTGGGGCTGTTACCCTGACACTGTCCCATTTTGGATAAATTATAGACATTGATGAATGCCAACACCAAAATGGAGGATGCCACCCAGTTGCCAACTGCACTAACATCCCAGGATCTTTCTCATGTCTCTGCCCCTGGGGCATGGAGGGGGATGGCTTTTACTGCCAGGATGTGGATGAATGTGAACACAACTCTACCCTGTCAAACAACTGCAGCTCACTGGCCATGTGCCTCAACACCAATGGTTCCTACCTCTGCCAGTGCAACAATGGATACCAAGGGGACGGTTTCATTTGTGATGATGTTGATGAATGTGAGATGGCCACACCTTGCAGTAAAAACATGACATGCACCAATATGCCGGGGTCCTACAGCTGCTCCTGTGTATTGGGAAGTGTGTACAATCAGGGAACATGCATAAGTGAAGAGACCTGCTTAAATGCTAGCAGTGAATGCCACCCGCTTGCCAAGTGCAACCTGTACCAGGGTTCTTTTTACTGTCAATGCGCAGAGGGGTATGAAGGAAATGGTACTCACTGCCAGGACATAAATGAATGTGACCAGTTAAAAGATCAAGTCTGTCCTCCTTTTTCATACTGCAGCAATACAAATGGCTCTTACTTCTGTGATTGTTGGGAAGGGTTTCAAGATAATGGGACACATTGTCAGGATATAGATGAATGTGAGATGGGAAACTTCAGCTGCACGGCCAACAGTAGCTGTACTAACACAGAGGGGAGCTACAATTGCACCTGTGACCCAGGATTCTCAGGCAACAATTCCCTGTGTTTGGACATTGATGAGTGCTTCCTTGGTCTAATCCAGTGTCCAAATTTTTCCCGCTGCCTTAACACTATTGGATCTGTCTTCTGTGAGTGCTGGGAAGGATACCAAGGCAATGCAACAGATTGTGAGGATATTGATGAATGTCTGGACAACTCCACCTGCCCTGATCATAGCACATGTGTTAACACAGAGGGAGGCTACCAGTGTCTCTGTGAGACAGGGTTTTCTAAGAACACTGACTTATGTGAGGACATTGATGAATGTAGTGAAAACAAGGTGGGAGAGATTTGCACAAATGGGACATGTGTGAATGCTCTGGGTTCTTTTTACTGTGATTGTTTTATGGGATTCGAGAGCAATGGAACAGATTGTGTCGACGTGGATGAATGCTCAAAACCTATCAACTCCTCTGTGTGCCAGTCTTTCTCAACATGTGTTAACACTCCAGGTTCATACCTGTGTCCCTGTAACAAAGGCTTTATAATGAACGGTACCCACTGTCTAGATGTGGATGAATGCCTGGACCCAGTTGGTGCAGGATGTCCAGAGAACTCTTTATGCATCAACACAGAGGGGTCTTTTCTTTGTCAGTGCTCTCCTGGATACAAAACCTTTGACTCTGGCTGTGAGGATATTGACGAATGTAAACACAACAACACCTGTCGCTCTGACCAAGTGTGCACAAACCTGCCGGGAGCATACAATTGCTCTTGCCCACTAGGATATCATGAGGAGAGGGAGGCATGTGTTGACAACAATGAATGTGAGAATTCACCTTGCCATCCGATGGCACGCTGTTGGAATACACCTGGCTCTTTCTCCTGTCACTGTCACACAGGCTTCGCTGGAAATGGCTCCTGGTGCAAAGATGTGGATGAGTGTGCTGCCTTAACAGATCCTTGCCATCCCATCTCTCAATGCCATAATGCCCCAGGGTCATTTGTCTGCATGTGTAAGCCAGGCTTCATGAGCCTTGGTTCCCTATGTGTGGACATTAATGAATGCCTCCAAGGAAATGGGCAGTGTCACGCTGCTGCTACCTGTAAAAACTATGTAGGAGGATTCAGATGTATATGCAACCAAGGCTGGGAAGAAACCAAGGATAATAGTGGTGGATGTGTTGACTTGAATGAGTGTGTGTCCAGCTCTACATGTCATCAACCATCATCCTGTACCAACTTCCCAGGGAGCTACGCCTGTTCCTGTCCAGAAAACAACCCTGTTTGCAAAAACATAATGAGAATGGGTTAGCTTTATCTTTGTCCTTCACCACATGATGGTATCAAATTTAGGCTTAGTTATAAATGAAATCCCATTTAAAATTACTAACGTCATAATTATGAAACATGTATCAGGGATAATCAACAACTTAATTATTTTTAAGTTGCAGTGTCTGATGAAGACAACATTAAAACAAAGCTAGCTGCTGTTCTGAACAATGACAATCTAGTAATGGCAACTAAAGGAATCGATTTTTGTATTTCCCTTTTGAAATCTACAATGTGTAAAATGCTACCTGTGTCAAGGAATTTTGGTAAAAAATCCTTAAAGGTTGCAGAGAGACCTGCAATAGTTGTTTTTAATTTCCAAAAAAGCCTTTATAGTAGTGAAACAGCGTGTGTCATGTATTTCTTTAGGCCAACAAAATATGTCATACTGTAAATATAGGTTTAAGTTGAGCAGACATTTACCATTGAGGTCCATACAACATTTCTTACTTTGGCCTGATGATTATAGTCCTTCAAAGGAAAGTTTATATCTAAACTGCATTCTGGTAAAATTATTCATTCAGTTAGTGTTTTTCCTTCAGTAGATGTCTTTAGCAATAAACCCTTTATCAAACAGAAATGTGTTTGATTAGTCTTGACTTTGGCATCAATGTTACACTATTAAAATGAGTCACACAATTAAACAGACTACTTTAAAACTCAGTGTATCAGAGGTATCACATATTTTGTATACATTTGGCCTTGTTCTCTTGGACAGAGTTAGCTGAGATAACCTGGCTTAGAAACAGAAAGGGATCCATGATATGCGTAGTTACAATCCTAGATAGCATATAAAAAAATTGGTGCCTTACCAGATTTCATCAATACACTGATACCAAACATAATTGTCTTATGCTGTTAATTGGATAATAAAAATAACTAACTGTTTGCTCCCACACAGAGGGCACTCTGTACCCATATGGAGCAGAGGCTGGAGATAAAGAAGTGAAAATAGAAACAGAAGATGGAAATTCTCCCTACATCACACCTCCGGCAGGGTTTCCTTTCATGGGGAAACTGTATGACAGAATATATGTAAGTGTGACTTTTTGCTAATATGGCAGCACCCAGTCTTACCTAGAAATATCGGAAGAACTTGGAGGATAAATACAGTGGTAACTGTGACAATTCCTCCTTGCAATATCTATCTTTATCAGTGGTTCTCAATCTGGGTCCTCAACTACCACTGCCCTATGTCCTTTAGATTTCTCCTCACTGCCACACTGACTTATAGAAAAAGAGAATGATTCACAAATTTCTGCAGCACTAGATTGCAGCTGAGGAGGTTATGCAGTCATTTGGATAAGCTGTGCAGGAACAGTTGAGGAGCTGGTTTGAGCTCATGCTGAGACCTGTCTTTTCCTAATGCTTTCTTTACCTAAGTTCACCTCTCAGTTTCGTTTTAGGATTTTGTAAGTGAACTTTTTTTGTATGGATATGACTGTTTGTTTGGATCATTATCCTACTAAAGCAACAAGTGATGAGCCATTTTGAGTTTTCTGGGAGAATGCATCATATTTTCATTTACAATCTCCTGTTTTTTTTTTTTTTTTTTTTTTTTTTTTTTATGTTCAAAACCCCAGGCATTCCAACAAATCTTTTGGAGGAGAAATAGGCCAGCATAGATTCTGTTAAAAAGGGATTTCATACCTTGGCATCAGGTGGTGTTTATCCTTTTGCAATACAGCCAACATACCTGCAAATTTTTAAACAACGCAGACTGTTCCCTTTAATGTTTCAGCAGAAATCAGCAAACCAAATATTTATGTAATGATTGGGCTGAAATAATTTACCCACTATGTTCCCAAAAAAGAGGCAGCCTGGTTTATTTTGGGCCCCCTAGCAGAATTTGGGGAATCCTAATCAAAGTAAATGCAATCAGCATCCAGCCAATTAAGGTATCACTAAAACTCATTTGAAATCTCTATATGAATCTATTTAAAGAGTGTATACTGTAAGTGAATTTTTACCTAAACATGGTAAAGTTGAAGGCATCCATGGAAAACATATCCACATTTTCAATTTACTTACAAAAAAGGACAGTGTGTAAAGCAAAAATTACAGAAAAAACAAGACATTTCTGAATTAATATAAACTTTGGACTAAGCTATGTTTTCAGTGTACCTCCAGGCAAGCACGAGACCCTACATGAGACCCACTTTTGACCTGGACCATCTATCTGTGGTCTCAAACCACCAGTTGGAATTTAAAGAGTAACTAGTGGCTATTGAAGTTTGATGTTCCAAAGATGCAATGCATTGGCACAGTTGTCATAGTTTTTTTTTTCTCTAAAATATATATGTGGGGCCAAGATCAACTCACACCCGCTCAGATTGAAGGAGGACCTTCTGGGAAAAGTTCTCCGAAAAAGGAAATTCACTTTTAATCTTTTATGATGTCTCAGTCTTTTTCAGCAATGCTTTGTTCTTAGACAATATTTGAAATATTTCTCCTTTTTCTGGGCCATTTTGTCTAAAAAGCAGCTCCTATTTTCTGATGTGCAAAGTTTAAATTGTGAAGCTCACAGTTGAATATCAAATTTACTCATACTATTCGGTTTTTTCGAAAAAAAAAAATCTTATTTCGGTGGGAAAATACAACTGCATACAACAAATGGGATTACATTTTACTGCACCAATGGAGGGTGCTGTATGACAAATATAAACACCTTTTGAAACAAAGAGAGAGGTTTTCATAGTCATATTTTTATAAAATATAATTAGATTTGCTTCAGTAATGTGGTTCTATGATAGCCATATTAAAGTATTTGATTTTTCACAATTTATTAGATAAATCATTAAGGATATTTAGCAGAATAACTGACTTTAATTAAAATGGTTTACTGATTAATGCTTTAAATTTTTATTAAATGGGATATACCTCACGTCAACACCCCGTGTTTAAATGTCCTTTTTCAGTTTTCAGATAATGGCCTGGTTCAGTTTCAGACGTTGGTAGAAAATGAACAATACCTGCTCCCTTCTCCTTCTGCTGATGGTTTCCCTGAGGACATGAAGATGCCTTTATTGGCAGCATTTTGGGATGATGCAGACCTCAACCTAGGGGATGGGAAGCTGCACTATAAGGTGTATACTTTATGTGATGTCAAAAATCTATTTAGAGTAGCTGTGATTGCTGTTGGTATAAATGACTGAAAACCAGAACCACCTTTTCTAATAATCACATCATTGCTGTTTGATTCTTTTAGGAATATTCTAAACTGGATGCATCAGATATTTACTCCCAAGTGGTTTTTAATCGCACAGCAGATGAAGTGACAAAGTTTGAGGATCTGAAACAGAGGCCTTCGTTTACGCCCACCTGGATCCTAAAGATCACATGGGACAACGTGATGCCGGTCTCCTACCAGAAGATCGACTTTTCTGAGGTGTGGTTTTCTTTACAAATTAAGTAAAGATTACATAAAAGAAATGAGCACTTTACTAAACATGCAGAACATGCTTGATCTCTGGAACAAAAAACCAAAGTATTTCAAGTGTGTTTGTTATATGCCCCACCTCTATTTTGATTTAAAAAGATGTGATAAAGCCTGACATATGATCATTTACTTGCCCTACTTTAAATGTTGTGTAATGTGAGACATTCAAAGCATAGGCTGGTAGAACGTAGGTATCACACTGAAACAAACTTCCTGTTTGTTCTAACTTGCAGTGCCATCTAGTGACAGCTTTTAGGGGATTTCTTCAAAGGACTTTTTCTGCCATTTCTTGTTTGCATAATAGTCTGAAAGTCCTGCTTATTTTATTTCATTTTTTATTTCTTTTTGCAGTTTGCACAAAATAAAAATGAGAAGCCTTTGTAAAATTTTTTGACTGTAAATTACTTTTCTATTGCAGACAAACACTTTCCAGTGCATCTTGACTACAGATGGAGTTCGCTCCTTTGCCCTCCTGCGTTATGGGGATATGAAATGGGGACCTGGGTTCAGGAAGCATCATGATGCTCTTATTGGCTACACAGATGGAAGAACCAGTTTCAAGGAGACCACCGTCCCCCCAGATAACCTTTTTGGTCCTGCAGGCAGATATAGACCCAATGAAGTTAGAGGAACACTTGGGAATCTTGGCCAGCTAGTGTATGATTTGACTGGGCCAGAAGGGTCGGATGTTGATGCCCGTATTAAATGTCAGACATGGTGGAAGAAAGAGCCTGACCCCAGTGAGTGGGTGTTGGGGCTGCCATCCTGTCCCTGCACCTGGACACAGGCTCTGGAGGATCTGGCCTTCTTACAGGATCTCACAGATCCAGGAGAAACAGTTCAGAAGCTGAGGGCTCAGCGCTGGGGTAGTGCCTCAGGACACATCTTTAGGTCACTCCTGTCCAACCAGTATGGAGCTGGGAAGAGGTGTGTGTATGAACCAGATGGTGCCTTGTTGGCTGGGTACAGTGAGCTCTACTTCCACGGACACAACACACAGAAACATATCGGTAATTTTTTTGCTTTACTTTTTCTCTGCTATTTGTAAAATATGACCAAAAATCAGGGATATAATCTAATAGAAAAGAAAACTGTAACTAAATATTATTTAACACATCGCCTCTTTTCAAAATAAAACATAAAAAACAAGGAAACATGTTATTAAGGCCTACATACAGATGTAATGGTAGACTGAAGTTGATAAACAGCTGCATGAAAATGGATTTCATGTTAAAACTTTCCTGTTTTTGATAACTGGAACAATAATTGCAATATTTTATTAAACTAGAACTGGAGGAGGAGCAAAGTTTACAAAACGTAACAGACTATGGATAAAAATCATTCCCCGATGCTCCCTGTTAGAGAACTGCAGATGAGATTGGTAGAATGAGATGATGGAGTCAGATGGCAGAAAAAAAGCCTCTTCTATCCAACGATCACAAACCTTTTGGAGCATGTGGATTTGCTAAATATCCTGGAAAGAATCGTTTGTTGTGGTCAAAGAAACCAAAGTTGATATTTTCTGCAGCAAACACTTCTGGTAACTTTGCTGGGAAAAAAGAAGAGATAATTATGTGACATTGTTCTTATTGTATGGTGGCGGATCTATGATACTGTGGGTCTTTGTCACTTTCAGGTAACCTGAGATAAAAACCTGTAAGCAATACATTCAAAAGTAATATCATCAGTGGGACCTTAGCAAAATAATGAGTCAAAGCAATTGTCTGAAATCATCGGTGATATAGTAATTGACTTCAAATCAGTATGTTCTCTCAACCTCAGTCTAAATACTGCAGCAAACCTGTTTGATACTGCATTACCTGAAAAAAACAACAATTAAGTGATTGAAACCTGCAGTGCCGCACTATGTAAACATTTCCTCTGATTGTCCGACTAAATCTTGGATTGACGGCATTTGAAAAACCTTTCTCTGCAGATGAGGATCTTCTTCCCTTTCAGTGGTGTTGCATCGACTCCTCCCTGTGCCATCATTACCTAAGCAGGAGACCCTTGGATCGTTGCCAAGGTTATAGCTTTAGCAATCACAGCAGCTCTTCCCCGTCTTATTGGGGGACTCAGGGCATTGGTGAGAGACCCCCCCTCTCCACATCTGAACACAAAACTGTTTAAAACAATCAATCCTCCAGCGTGTTTTATGTTATGATATTTTATAAGTGAAAAGCTATGTTTCCTTACAGCAATGGTGTACGGGAGCCTGCATTTCATCACCTTTGATGGGTCAGAGTACTCCTTTAATGCCCTGGGGGAGTTTGTGATACTACGTCTCTCATCTGCAAGAGGCTCCAATATCTTCACCCTACAAGGACAGATTGAGAAGCTGCACACTGCTGCACAGGGGATCGTTGAGGTCCCAGTGGTGGTGCGCATGGCTGCCTTCCACCAAGGCCTCGGCAAGGTAAGGATGGGGTATAGTTTTTAGCTACAGCAGTAGTCACTGTTTAGAAAACTCCTTTTTTGCCTTCAAATGTGATCATTTAAGCTAAGATTGAAGTTAAGATACCAGCTTATTTCAGACCTTTCACAACCCCAGTTGTTTTTTTATATGTTTTGCAAAGTTTTAAATATTTCATTAGCATATTATTTGATAAACGAACAGAAATTAATGAGTAATATAGAAGTGAAATAAAAAATAAACATGGAGTTAAAAAATGTACTGAAAACATGTTAAAAAGTTTGATGGATTTATGTTCAGCCATCATACTTGACTTAAATTAGAACTGCAAGTTTTAGGAGTTTGCAGTACTCTGTAGAAAAGCTAAACTCAATCTGGCTGGAACATCAATTTACTGGCCACAGATAATTTTTTTTACAGCTATTTCCAAAGTGGAAGAAACGCCCCCTAGTGTGATATCCATGACATATCATGACTTTTTATATATATATATATATATATATATATATATATATATATATATATATATATATATATATATATATATATATATATATATATAAAAATGAAAAGCAATGACTAATTCTGTAAGACAGTAAAATAAACAGGAAAACTTAAATTTATTCCATTTTAAAAGCCATCATTTTATGGTTTAAAGGAGATTATTGAATATTTTATTGCAATATGTAATTTACTGCAATTGTCTTTCATTTGTTCCAAATCACCAGGATGGGCAATTCCATCTCCTTAAGGTTGGTATCCTTTAAGGTTTGGATCCATCGTTGGTCCAACACACCTTAAAAAAATGACTGCATTATGTCCTCAGCATGCAGAGTCTTCTTGATCATCTAAGTCAGGGGTGTCAAAGTGGTTACAGAAAGGGCCGTGTGGCTGCAGGTGTTCTTTCCAACCAAGCAATAGCAGAGCAGACTCTAGTCTTCTCATCAAGTGAGTTCAATCTGAACAGGATGACTTGATGAGATGAATGGAGTCTGGTGTGCTATTGCTTGGTTGGAAAGAAAACCTGCAGCCACACGGCCCTTTCTGGAACCAGTTTGACACCCCTGATCTAATTACGTGATTCAGGTGCGTTGGACCAGAGAAACACCCAAAAAGTTGCAGGATACAGGCCCTCAGGAACTCAGCTTAACTTTAACCCCTGGTTAAAAAGGTTGCTGGGGGATATTTATAAAAAAAACCTTTCTATTCTAAGACATGAATATGTTTTAATCTGAACCAGAACTCAGAGCTTTTCCAGGATTTTGTGCAGCCTTTACTAATTTGGGTCACTAACACAAGCAGTTAATGGAGATACAGTATCTTACTTATGCACTTTTTTACATTCACAAATAAAAATCTTTTAAAAATCTGAAATGTTATGTAGATTATAAAATAATTTCATCAGTCATAGCTTTAGTTTTGATTAAAAAGGACCACAAAGATCAGGTCTGTTAAGATCAGGGCAGATTTGGTTTCGATGATTCATTAAACTCAGTTGAATTTTATATTACATTTTTCCTGTACACAAACAAACTAGAAAACACAATAGAGCCCTAAAAATTCAGATATTGCATCCTTAGGTTTTCTTACAGGAAGTTTATGCATTTACCATGTCTAAGCAGCTTCTTCCAGCATGATGCCTAAACCACCATGCTTTATAGCACTGGTTTGGTGAGTGTTCAATGTGATATTCTTTATGGTAAAAACACAGCATTTTTTGTGAGATCATCCATTGTTGATCTCTCATGTTTGCTTGTCTCTTTCTTGAACATCAAAAACCTTCTTTCTGAACTGCTATTTACTATGCTGCTTGTTGACTGATGATTAAGCAACTGAGTATTACATAAGATGTAACACTACAACAGTCCATCCATTTAATAAATGTCTACTGTTTTGTGATGGTCTATCAATATCATGGAAGCTGGTTCTTCCATTGAATAATATGGGAAATGTAGTTGTTCTGTTACCAACTAAAATTTTGAGGGGTATAAATGCTTATTAAAACACTGTTTGTCATGAAAGAAGACAAACATCCACATAACCATCATCTTTGGTTTTGGTCATCAGATTGAGTGGAGGTGCTCTGATAGAGACAGTGGACTGCAGATTTTTGTGAATGAGGTTGAAGCCTCAGTCAGAATCGGTAATCACACAAATTTAATCAAATAAGATATTCTAAGTTTTAAATAGAACATCTGTTGTTCTGCTCATTGGAAATACACTCTGTGTGTCCTTTCAGGTGTGGTGTACGATAACAAGAGGGACTTTGCGGTGCGTTGTCTCTCCGTGAATCGTTGTGCAGCGGTTTATGCCAGCGGTCTCAGGGTGGTCGTGTGGCGAACTGAAGGCTACCGTCAGCTGGCAGCCATGGTGGAGGTCCCTCAGAACTTCTACAGACGCACTGTGGGCCTCTTAGGCCTCTGGAGCTCCAACCGGTCGGATGATTTCCTCATGTCAGATGGAAAGATCCTCCAGTCTAAGGGGCTCAGCCCCCCTGAAGAGGAGAGTCTGAAGCTCTTTTGCTTGTCCTGTGAGTTGACCATTGAAACATGCACAAATGTTATCATTCATTAAAGATAAGAGGGAAAATGTCAATGTAACTAACAGTATAAAAAATGTCTGTTAAATACAATAGAAACCTGCATAGGAATCTGTGAACCTTAGAGTCTCATTGCTATCATTATATTCAGACAAAAATAAACAAACACAAAACATCATCCCTTTAAATTTACACAGCATATCAACAAAGTGTGAAAGGAAAAATCTTATAAAAGTCTAACTTGAACATAGCCGATATGATGTTTAAAACACTATTAAGGTGACAATTCACACAGGTACTAAATCGGCTGTAAGTAGGAAACTTGGTGTCAAGTCTTTCTATGTTGGGGAGGTGAGTCTGATTTCAGTGCTGCTCTAAATGACGAAAGTAAAGAATAAAGGCTAAGTTTTGATGAAAAAATGTATTCACTGATAAAACAATGGGTTTAATGGTACTACAAGTTAAAAATCTTTTTATTTCACAGATTGTGTGAAATAAGAAGTATTTCAAGCTGCACATTTTATGTTTAGATCAGTAAATCGCAAAAACCTAAACTATGATAAATGTAAAAAACAAAAACAACAAATGTATTCAGAAGATGTCTAAATCTGATGATCAATTTAATGTTGGTTCTTCCTCGAAGTATGACTGAAGTCAACATGAAGGCTTAGTCAGAGGACTGGTCAGAATCAAATCAAATGGATTCAGCTAAACTTATAATTTTGTAAAAAAAAAAAACAACTCTGACCTCATCACAACACTATCTAAAGTCCATTTCTAATCTAAAACCATTAGCAACAGCGTTAAGGAGCGGCAGCCTCTCTGCTCACATCTCACCTGTTTTCCAGGGGCGGTCCCAGGCCCTGAAAGCCTGCTGTTCTCCTCGCCACCAACGGTCCCCCTGGCTTTAGAACCAACCAGTCTTCTGCTGAAAAGCGTGAGTCCTGCTGAGCTGAATATGCAGATGAGAAAGTGTAAGGAGAGCATGCAGTGCGTACAGGACAGCGTAGCATCTGGCATCTCCGACCTGGGCCAACAGACTCTGGATGCACAGACACAGTTAAAGAGGCTGGCTCTCACTTTTGGTACAAATGTCTACATTTATACAAATTTAAATTCATTTCTTTTTTTGCATGTGATTGATTTTCTGTTACATGTTTGTCCATCTGGCAGGCAACATGCCGCCTATAGTGAAAGAGCCTGCTGTGATACACAGCAGGGTCAACTCTCAGGTCAATGTTCAGATTGTTGCTGAGGATCCAAACAGAGACCCCATCACCTACTCATTGCTATTCCCCAGGCCTCCAGAGGCTTTTGTTGACAGGGGTGAGACACACACACAAACATAAACGCATCCCTTCTTCCTCCATCCATTGCTGTTACTGATGACATGACCCTTGACGTTCGTTTGTCAGATAGAGAGGCCGCTGTGGCTGAGTCAGGACAAGGCTCTCACAGAATGAGATCCCTCTCCCTGCTGTGACAGCTGCGATGCATAATTGCCATGTGCATACTTTTCTTTTGCATTTCCAGGTGGTGGCTTCCTGACATGGACACCCCTCAGCACTCAGCCTGTCCAGCTGACTGTCAAGGTCAGCGACAAAGAGACAAGCTCTTTGTTCACCCCAATCCTGCGTGTCTGCAACTGTCTTAACGGAGGAACCTGCCTGTATGACAGCGTTGCTGAAAATCACTTAAAGGGAATGTTCCAGGTACTGTGTGTGTTCCAGGTTTTTGACATGTTTTAAATCTTTGAAAGGGGTGGTGAATCAGAAGATCATACATTCTTCTATTATCTTGTAGAAATTTGTAAAACATGGGCTAAAATATGTAGCAGAAACCAAATGCTTAAATCAGTGGTTGCTATGGTGATTCCTGTTTTTTTTTTGTTTTTTTTTTTGTCAAGGCATGGAGGAGGGAAAGCAGGACAACTGGAATATTCCACTCCAAATAGTTACTTCTGCAAAAACTTCAATTCATAAAAAAAAAAAAAAAAACTATGGCACCTTGACATACAGAACTGCATGACTTTATCTGTTTACAGTTTTTTTTCTCCTCTAATTTACATTCAGCTTAAATATAACAACAATAAATTAAAGGTATCATGGTGGATGTTGCATTCTGGATTGACTTAACAGAAAAGCATAAGTCCCGCAGGAGTCAGATAGACTGGGTGAAAGTAAATAAAATGCATCCCTAATGCCTTATAGGTACATAAATGCAGGCTGATAAGAAAATGTGTATAAAGCCACCCTCCTTTAAGCATTAAACAAGCTAAAACCCTTAAAATTGTGGTGTATTGAAATAGTGAAAATAAAAATAATAATCAAAGCACTAACTCGGCTTTCTTTCATGCAATTTCACATTGAATGTTGCTGCATTTATTAAATCTGGCCGGGGAATGTAGCTCCATCATGGAATGTGTTTTGCACCATTCAATTCCCTTTTAAGACTGGGGCTAAACTTTTCTTTATGAAAAAGCTTATAGTTAAAAACAGAGTGATGTTTTTTTAGCCGCTGGGTGGAGGAAGAACATTAATAGCCTGATCAAGAAAGGGAGAATTTAAGTTTCTTTAAGTTTCTCCTTGGCTTCCATCCAAAACAATCAGTTGTCCTGAGCTATTCTATAGCAATGCTGCTATATGTTTAGGCTGCTGGATGACATAGGGATGCCTTTTCCTCATTCTGCTTTTTTCTGTCTCTATTCTCCCATTCTGCAGTATTTGTTAAGGTACACTCATAACTTTGTTTTCACTCTTTTTTACTGTTATAGTAGATTCATCTGGTCTGTTCCTGTTCAGCTGTGACCAGGATTGAAATATCCCCTGTGCAACATACGTGTATCCATATATCTGTTTATAGATGTTGGAGCTTGGCCTGTTTTTCAGTGTAGCCTTATTGTTTTACTGTCACTAACTGTATTTGCTTTCTTTCATCCTCTGACAAGAGAATTGGCTTGGTGCTCATCAGCCTGGCTACATCTTTCCTGGACTGGGTCATCTAGTTAACAGTTACCTTTTGTATCTTTGCTACATTCTGTATGGCTACTTCTGTCTCCTCAAACCCCAGTCTGTCTCAGCAGATGGCCGCTGACACTGAGCCTGGTGCTGCTGGAGGTTTATTCCTGTTAAAATGGAGTTTTCCTCTCCACTATTGCCACATGCATGCTCAGAGTGAGGAATTGCTGAAGAGTCAATAAGAAGAAGCAAGCAAAAGTCATCACCGCAGGCTCATCCTGGAGGAGCATGTTTTGCAAATCAATGACTGGACACAATCAACTGGTTTTCCTTGACAGAAACTTTTAAGCATTCTGACTTTATTGTCTCTTTAAAGTGCCCTGAGAGAACATGTGTTTTTCAATCGGTGCTTTATTATTTATTGAATTGAATGAGATTGTACTGTAAGCTATGATGGAAATATTTGATGCAGCATAGTTTTACCGACTGAGCCACAGATTTTCTACATGTATTTTTAGTCCTAAACAGAAAACTGGGACAACAGAACAATTACAAGATGAAATACCAGTAGAAAACACACTAAATAATGTAATACTGTGGTGAGGGAGATATTTCTAACAGTTTGGAATAAAGACCATACCATAAAGGAAATTATTCACTTAACATTAATAATAAGTATTTCAAATCTAAACTGGATGAAAAATAATCTAGAAAGGCAAATCTTAATTTTAGAAACACTTGTAATATAATATTATTTGTTTAATTTATTATTCCTGTAATTATTTTAATACAAATTCTGATGAATACGAATAATTGTAGGAACATATAAAAAAAGCTAAATACAAGTGTCTTTGATCTATTTTTTCCTTTTTTCATCCTTTTTTTAATTATAGGTGGTGGGGTGTTTGTGCCCGAAGGGATTCAGTGGAAAATTCTGTGGGAATACAACAAACGTATGTCGAGGCAAGCCGTGTTTCAGGGGGCTTCAGTGTCAGCCAAAGTCAGTCCCTGACCAGTTTACCTGTGAAAAGTGTCCAGACAATACCGTCTCGAATGGCAAAGAGGGATACAAATGCTTTGATTATGGTCTGTAGGAGATAAAATGTTATTTTAAAATACGCTTTCACATTTTTATCCCACAACCTCAAACAGAACTCCTACTTTTACAAGTTTCTTCATCCTCAGACATGTGCAGTCCCCCGTTTCCCTTCCCTTGCCATAAGGATGCAGAATGCCTAGCCGTGGAGCACAGCTACTCCTGCACATGCAAACCTGGCTTCAGTGGAGATGGATACAACTGCACAGGTGCTAAATGTCGACCTGTTATAATGAAAAGCAACTGTTTAAATTGCGTAATGCCTCATATCATTAACCTCCTTCTTATCAAATCTGTTGAGGTATTCCTCAAACAAGTTAATCCTTCTAGAGGCTGAAATTGTTGTGCAATTTTCTTTGTGTAACATCTGAAGAAAAGGGAGACTGAATGAGGAGTATCTGTGAAAATCCATTTCTCACACCAGAGTCTCAGAAATTTAAGCCTTGAGTTTGATTGAGCCATTTTAACACACTTTTAGCTACTACTGTAGCTCTTGGCTGGAAGTTTAGAGGTGAGCTGCTGGAAGGCGTCATAGAAAAAACAAGCATTAGTCTTATTTAACATGAAAAAGATAAATGGTCTTCCCTTCAAGCAGCTTTTGTATCGGTTTTTGCACAGCATTTGCCAATGTTCCATTTTTTTGAAGCTAGATAAAGATTTTACTCTATACTTTCTCATGGCTGTGGGTTCCCAATACTGCTTTGCAAAACATGAGACAAGGAGTTCTTCCAAACAAGGAGGAAGTCTCAGTCCCTCTTAAAGAGACAAAATATCTAGTTTGTCCAGAGCTAGTAAGGCAAAAATATAAGAGTTATAGCATCAGTGGTTTTGTCAGACTTTGCAGGTGAGACTCTGCCTGTATGAATATTTTTCAGTGCAACACAGTGAACTAATGGGCTCACATGGAGAGCATAGATGGCACTACGACCACAAATGTCAAACTCCACGCTGGTCTTAGGTCTTTTGCAGCTTCTAATAATATTCCTCCTCTATAACCATGTATTTAGCTCCACTCAACATTTATGTCACCACCTCTACTATGTTCCTAATGAAAATAAAAAAAAATCTCTGCACCGTGATTCTGTTTACTATGTCCCATTTAAGGCCCAATAGAATAATGAATACTACAGAGTTGTGCGATCAGTCCATCGCTGCAGACAACAAAACCTGACTTCTCCTGGTTGGTTAAACTTTCCAGAAGATGTCTTGTTACCTCCTATACCATTGTACGATAAATGTCAAAACTTTGCAGAGGAAGGTGGTTTTGACCAGTTTTGATTAACCCTACAGGGGTAAGAGAAACGTGTAGATGCTAACAGGATGAGGGACAGCCTCTTTCTGAAAGCTGTGGTCTTCCCTCTCCGCACTCACAGAAAACATCAACACATACAGAACAGTTAACTTTATGTTCAGTAAAGACATAAAAGTAGCTATGGCCCCTATATGCATGTCTAACTCTCTACTTCAGACCTGTTTGAACCATATGAGCTACTATGTAACATTTTATGCTGTCTAGCATATTGTTTCATGTTTATTGTATTTGTGGCAAGTTTTGATTTAGAAAAAATACAAAATTAAACAACAAAAGACAAAAAAACACCCTATAAAAATGACTGACATACAGAAAGCATAAAACCATAACAAGCTTTAAAAATGACACCCAATTAGCCAGAATAATCTATTTCTAACATTTTGTATCAAATTTATTTCCAGAGCTTTCGATCACATATCTGATTTTTACTCGTTTTACATTATATAACACATCCCTAACCCAGTGTGATGCTTTGGGTCAGGCACCATCTTTCCACATTAGAGGTTCAGACTAGAAGAGTTGAAAAAGCATTAACCTTACGCCCCCTCTAGATTTATTTTTATCTGTTATTTTTAGCTTTAGTTGCTGCTTTCTGTTTGAGACTGTGTTATGAATTCCATTGTATGTATTACTGCAACTATAAGCCATCTTTGCATTATGGTATTATGTGCTTTGTTGGTGAAGGGTTTTGAGGACCCAAATGCAGAGACCAGGATGCAGAGGTTAGTTTTGCAGGTTTAATGAGGCAGAAATCCAAAAATTCAAAATAACAAATATAGAAAGCCTTGCTAGAGGACATCAGGGAAAACACACATGGGGAGCCAGGGAAAGACAAGGAACCAGGACTGAGGAATTGCACAGGGAGAGTATATATGGGAGACAGAACAAAGACTGGACTAATGAGCTGACAAGGAACAGGTGTGGATGGAAGTGTCTAGAAGAAAGCCAAGGGGAAGGAAAAGAACACAAGGGGGCAACAGAGAGTAACTTAAGACATACAAAAGAACTCAAAAATATAACCAAAAACAACTAGAATAACACAAAATGGAAATGAACCCAATAAAAAAGAATAAAAAAGTATAACTGAAAACTCAAAAAGAAAACATAAACAGCACCAAAAAGTGCAGAGTCATGACAGTGCTGATAAGATGTTCAAAGCTAAACATATTGTTAATTATCCAAGCCCTGCTTTAAAAATCTCATCTAAGTTGTTCAAAATCTGACAAAAGTCTGGTTCCATGTTATTTATATTGTTATAGTGAATGTTTTCCTTTTTATTTCTGACAAAAAAAAAAATATTTTCTCCATAATCTTTCACAACTTTGTACAATTCATCTTAAAATACCTCCAACAATGCATATGCATTTGTAGCGGTAATAATAACAATTTATTCATGTGTTCAAAATGTGTTATTGTTTCTGCAAGGCCTTGCATCAAAGTATGTGTGATGGATGATTCTTTAAGTAATGGTGGGTTTATTTGTTTTACAGATATCGATGAATGTGCTGACCTCATGGCATGTGAAAATGCAAAATATGAGTGTATGAACAGGCCTGGATCTTTTGAATGCCTCTGCAGATATAAAAACTCCAAGAATGCTGATGGATGTGGTATGCACAGCTTTAGTCATTCAGTAGTAGAGACATGCACTGTAGGAATTGTAAAAGTTTAAACTTTGTTCATTATCAGCCACGACTAGATTACTTTAGTTTTGTTTTTCCTTTTCTTTACAGGTAACTCTCCGAACCCTCCAGGTATGGGCTCCTATTTACAGTAATTTCTAACTTTATTACTGCAGCTCTATCTTAGTTGGTATCAGAGAAGTTAATAATTTAGCCCTCTTTTCGCTTATATCACCTCAGGACACAATAGGTTTAACGTTTCCATGAGCTGGAGGAACAGAGGAGCGGATGGACTCAAACAGGTGTGGTATTGGGCAGGGTGTGCTCTGATTCCCCCATGCTACAGAAATAATAGCTTCTGTTTGACTGCAAAGTAATGTTTTAATATGTTCTCCAGCTAGATGACATTCTGGCCAAAGGTTTCACAAACAAGTTCTACAACATCAGTAGAAAAGATGCATCTGAACCCAGCAAGGAGGAGTATCGAGTGTCTGTGTCCAGTGACACGCCCCACTGGTACATCCAAGACTACCTGTCCAGAGTCAGCCCCCACTACGAGATAAAGGCTGTGGAAGTTGATGGTAAAATGCTTTGATGCAAGTTTATGTTTGCGTAGCTCAGAATATAGGGAAATATTAAACGGAAGAGGCACATATGCCACAATTAGCATGACAAAGTCTAAAGTTCTATTCATAAAGCCTACTACTCCCACTTTGATTCTGTAAACAGATTTAGATGAGTGTAAGGCCAAGGAGGCGGGATGTGTCCCCCACGCCATGTGCATCAACACCTACGGAGGCTACCGCTGCGTTTGCAACGGTACAGCTGATGTTGATGGAAGCCAGTCCTGTATAATTGGTGAGTCTGCTTGATGGCCAAAAGATTATTTAAATCTGAACATCACTGAAAATGTAGTTTACATCAATGAAATTTAAAAAGAGAAATTGATGATAAAATATGTTCCTGTGCGTTCTTTCTGGATAAGCTCTTCAACTGACCATATTAATGAAAAGTTTAGTGGAAGGAAAAAGCACAGTAGAAGAGAATGAGCAAATGATCATGGATAACTGCAACTTTTAAAGGAATTTGAAGCAAAGCTGATCCAAGGGTTTGTGGGACATTTAAAAGGCATGAACCTCAGCCAGAATGAGGGTTTAAAGGGCCACCACACACAAACCTATACAGAATTTAGGTTATGATGGCTAACTTCAGTTTATTCAGCCAATAGTGAAGCAGACGCAATGTTAGGAGATTAGGAGAAAATGAACAGGACTGCTGCTCAGTCATCCAAAGCCTTATATCAGATAAAAATACAAATGTTGTATTTTATACGGAAATCAAATTGTGGAGGAAAACTGGAAAGACATGACTGTAGCTGCCTGTTTGGTGTTGGTCTGCTGCTGACACAACCTCTGGCAAATTTTAATCTTTCATCTTTCAAGTTTCTAAAATAAAAGTACTTAAACATGTCCCTTTGTGTCTAAGGGAGGAATTTTCATTTTAAATTGATTCATCATGATATTCTGTGTTTTACAGATGAAATGCACTTTTTTTGCATAATAACATTGTGGTTTTAACATTTTAAAGCAGGATTTCTGCAAGAAATTGCTGCAGTCAACAACAAAATGCAAGTGAATATGTACTGTTGCCAGAGCTCATGCAAGAGTAGCGAATCCTGTAAAGTCAATGAGTCGATGCAATCAGCTGGTTTTCCTTAGAAAACGTTGAACCAGTCTGACTTTATGATCTGGTTGAATTGTGTCTATAAAGTGCCTTGAGATGACATGTGTTGCGAATTGGCGCTAAAAAGATTAATGACACATTGGTATTTTTGTTTTTTTCTTTTGATAAAATTATGGCAACAAGCAGAAGAGAGATCAGAGGAGTCTGAGTCAAACTTGGACCTGATTCTGGGTTTGGTTCTGGGTATCGGCATACCGCTCCTCCTGCTGCTGCTGCTTCTGGCTGCACTGGCCTGCTTCTGCTGCCGCAGGAAGACTGTTACTGGAGAGTGAGTACAGTAGCATCAGAAGGGCACTGATTTAGCAGGAAACAGCATTTTTAAGCAAACAGAATAGAAATCATGTTTATCAGTTGTTAATGTTTTTTTAAAGGTTGTTGGGATGTAAATCTGAAACAATAATAAGATCTTAAAATAGCTATGCTCTTCAAAAAACAATGAATGCAACACACCAGACTGGGTGATTCAGACTATGATTTCGTACTTTAGTCTGGTGATTTAGTCTTTGCACATAATGAACAGAACATCATCAAAGCCTAACCTGATTGGCCCTAAAAAGTAAGCAATAACTGAGCACTGAACGTCAAACGACTGGATATAAACTCTTTTTTTAAGTGGATCATAAGATCCTTAGGGTAGGGTAAGATAAGGTTCATGCACAGCACCAGAGAATAAATAGCTGTGAAGAATGACACACAAACACAGATCAATTCACAACTGTACGTCAAGGCTACAGTGGTTAAATTAACCTATAGGAACAATCCTTTCCAGGAACTTGAAGGCTGTAAATCCTGCATTCTGTTCTGCTGCTGCAGCACCATCCTCCTCATTTAATTTCTCAGTTGGAGGAAAACTGCCCACTCTATTACTATATTAGACAAAACACTTCCTACTAACAGCTTTTGTGTGAGTTATGAAACTTTACTTTTACACCACAGAAGGTTATTTATGGACACATTACTGGGTAAAACAGAGTAATGACAAAGATAACATATGGATGGAAACTTAATTTGCCTTCAAGCTGAGAAGAATAAACCACAGTTACATGTATGTAGTAAAATAATCGCCTCAGCTTCCATGTATTTTAACTTGACAACTTAGTTAAGCTGAAGCAGCTGCTACATTCCAGCTACATTATTATTTTTACAGTTTAGTTTAACTTACTTTAAGTCAGTTTACGTTAGCATAGCTTAATTATCTAATCTTATTTTGTATTATTTTCCATTGATGAGTAATTTATATAAAAGGTAGCTTAGCTTATCTTTGTGTATATTAGCTAAACCTGAATAAGATTGAATTAGCAAATATTGTGTTGCATAACTTGCCTATACTGTCTGATTTTTATTATGTTCAATTTTTAGTTTTGATTTTCTTTTTGTGTACATTTCTGACTTAGGTTTGGTATTTTTCAAATCATCCCCTATATTCATTATTTTAGGTGCTTTTCTTATTAGTTTATCCTCCTACCTCTAGTCTCCTGTTTTACTTTAATGTATACATTCTGTAAGAATGTGTCCCTATGTCTATTTCTGTTCCGCTCCTGCTTAACTCTTCCAGTCATCTGCCTTCATTGGTCTAAGCTGTTCCTAACTTTATATTTTAGTAACATATATTATCTAACTTTAGTTTAAGTTATCTGATTCTTTTCTTATTTTTGCTAAAATTAGCCCAGTTTAGGGTTTTAATATGCCTGAATGAAGGAAATCAGTCTGCCAGGACATGTAAGCAACTGATTTTGGTGTATGATTATCTTTTCACTTAGTGAACTAAGTTATAAGATGATCCAGATTGATCCCTATTCTTAGGAGCAGTTGACCTTACCCAGTTTGAAAATCACAGCGAATGGGTTTCGTCATTAAATTCCCCAAAATACAAAACAGTCCATTAGAGAATCAATTCTTGACTATATTTTTGGTATAACATTGTATTTTATTATGTGGATTTGTCCTTAGCTGCAAAGTGTGCACTTGTATGAGGGCAGATGTATGGCATCTGGACCAGGTGTTAGTGGGCCATAGAGACACCTAATCCCCTTGATGACTGGCCTCCTTTTTCTGCTTTCATTCAGCCAGACTATAATGTAACAATGCTGTCTGCATCAGCATTGTCGGATCATGTTAGATTAGTGAGGGGAAAAACAAAAGCCAGAAAAATATTAACTCTATGTTTCTTTCAACAAAGAGTAAAAATAGATTCTTGGATTACATGGTTTTATGATAAAATCACCTAAAGCCTTCGAGCTATCTTATACAATAGAGCAGATATGATTTAAATCACCATTCACAGAGCTTCTGCTAGGCTTCCTTAGATCTGTTAACACTTTTTCTGGGGAAACTCTCACCAAACACCATACAAATAATCATTGCAAGAAATCATTCAACACGTTGTTTTTTGTTTGTGTTTAGTTTGTTATTCATAGGATTATTAAGCAGCAGGTCTCTGCCTCATTATCAGAAGGGATATACATACTTAAAAAGAGAACAGTTGTAATAATATAGAATGCAGTAAGTTTTAACTGCAAAAATTCTACAGTGGGTCTGGAAAATTATTCAGATGTGAGCTTCATGTTTTTAATCAGCTTTAGCCCCAGATTTCAGCATCTTTCAACTCTGTATATCTAGGCTAGAAAATGCTTGAATATGCACGAGTCACTGTTGATCATCCACACATTTACATAAACATAACTAAAATTACTATTAATTTTGTTTACTGTATGTGCAATATAGGCAGCAGTAAACACAGCCAAGAGATTTAAACTTCATGGAAGCAAAATACTTTTTATTTAAAGGAGTAGAAATTAATACCATGGTGCAAATAAAAGATGAAGCCCAAGTTGCAGGGATATACAAAGAAGATATACAGTAACTCTTAGAAGTTTGGATCTGTCTTCCACATCTGTATGAGACGAGAAGGAAAGAAAATAGAGAAAATAGAGATAAAAAAAAACAAGAAAAAGAAAACAACAGAGAACCAAAGTAAACATTAAAATAATTTCAAGAGCAGCAGGTATTCTTTAGATATCCGTGTGCATTGAGGGCAAAACTGATGGTGATTGCTCAATATTAATCAGGGTGGTAGATATCTGTAGCTGCAGCTTAATATTTAGTATTAATGTGTTTTTGTGAACTCCAGGAACCAAATCCATTTGGTACATATGCATGGCCGTGCTCATGTATAAAGGATTTACAAAGCTTCTTCAGAAGGAAAATATGCTTAATAGCAGGTGTGGGCAGCCCCAGACTCGTCCTACAGGGCCCAGGATTGATAAAGAGGCAACCTGAGGTCCAGATAACCAAAAGCACCCCTGATCACAGGGACAAAAGGAGGGCAATATAAGGCTCTGGGCAGCCGGGAGCACCCAGAGCCTGACCTCCAAGGTGTCAAACCCCAAAGAGGCTCAGTACCTGAAGGGCACGACCCTAGATGCTATAGTGCCGAGGTCCCACAAGGCCATGGCGGCGAGCCCATGAGCTCCAGTCACCCAGATGAGAGCCAGGGAGTCTCAGGCCTCGGGGCACACCTCCCCCCAGTTGGGATCCCACAGGGCCAAGAGAACTAGGCAGCCACCAGGAATGTGACAGCGTCCACTGAAGTACCCAACCCCACATGTAGAGAAAATCAGTCACTGATGGGGACAATATGAATGAGAGCGAGACAGGCCCTGCTTATACTTGGGGCCTACGATGTTCCAGTAGGTACGGGGGAGGCAAACACTCAACCTGACAAATAGACAAAGACAAATTCACATCCATGCAGTCACATTCACACTCTTACACCCATAGGGACATCTCGAAACATATTCCTTCTCTCCTCATATATACGGGTCTGATGGTCTGATGGTCAATCCCCTTAGGAGGAACAGATCCACAGACACAGGAGTAGATCCACAGTTGCAGTTATTATTCCTTTAAATTACTGCAAAAGGTCTATGTGTGCATGTCCTTTTACAGCATTAATTACCAGAACCAATCAGTTTGGATCCGAAACCATTAGCTCTCTACTAGAAAGATAGGCAAGAAGAAGGATTTGGTTTTCTAGTTACAAAAATGCTAATCATCAGCAAACAAAATGACATGACCCAGAGTAAAAAGATATGTGTTGGAAATTGCTAAAGGAGAGTCCAAAACGAAATCTGACAGAAAATATGTGTGTTCAGAAATTATTCACTTTCCCAAGGCTTACTATGGCTGTGGAACTGAACACTGAATCTGCACACAAGCACCTAGCTTTTATTTTTATTATTCATTCCCTGCTTATAATTTAGTTTTATTAATTTAGTTCAATTAGCTGTATTGTACTGATGTATCATGATTTTTTATTTCACATAAAAAAAGAAAAAACAGCGTGGAAGAGTTTTGTAGACTTTTGAGATCCACTGTAGGTCGTTATTTTTACTGTTGTATTATGATTTGTTTTTTGCAGCCTCCCTCATTTGATGCCAGACCACATCCAACAGCAGTACAACCCCCCACCATTCAACTACGCTGACCCGGCCCTGCAGTACATGAGTCACTGCAGCCCTCGAGTCCTAGACGATGTCATGCCCCGGCAGCGGCTCAGATAGAATCCCCCCCCATGCAGCTAAAGCAAGAAGTCCTTCATGTCTTGACAGAAAATGTTAATTAAAAGTAAAACACTGCACTGCTTTTTATCTTCCAGTAAACAGCTGACCAACTATAACATTTAAAGCAAAATCTATTGTGCTTCAGTCCATAAAAAAGTAACACTGGTTTCTAAAAAGAATATATATGTACAGTTCAAAATCAAGCTGTTGAATTATTGTCCATTGCTTAACATTCTAGTTAATTTACCATAACATAGTTTGTAGCAGGGAGCAGACTTGCAAGAAGAAAAGGAAATATCTTAGAAAAATGATAATAAAAATACTTCTATAAAAATTTGTTTCTTTGGAGATAATTTGCAAAATAAATTGCAACAAAGGTTGAACGTTGTTTTCCAAACGTCAATGTCATCTCAGTGACGTTGGGAGAATAAGGATCAAGCCGAAAGAGGATAAGCATCGAGCCAAAGCAATGGATTGGAAGGAGACAATGATTTTATCTCTTTCCTGTTAACTATGTAAGGCTCAATCATCTTTTAATTTCTAAAATCAATCTGTCAAAAGTACCGGTAAAGAATATGAGGGACCTAGAACCCAATGTATTTAATTTCAAGATGTTTTCAGGCCTATGAATCCTTTTCTTATCCATACTTTGCATATAACAGTGAAATTGGTTAGTTTATGACTTAATTCTACTACAGTGGCCATCATAGACGTTTAATCTTTCATTACAATAGCACAATCCCACCATTTTAAAGTTGATGTGTGTTTATTGAGAGAAGAATCAGAATCCTCAAAAGTGTTTTTTTGCACTCTGATAGTGAGATAACCAAAGGTAGACAGGTGAACTGTGTCTGGTAAATTGTTTCTGTGGATTTTCACCACCTTTTGGACCTTTTGCCAAATAACTAATTAACACCCGCTTTTCATTTTGCAGGCAGAGATAAATACTCAATAAGTATTTACTGCTAATTAACATGGTTCATTATCCTGTGTCTTTGGAAGAGAGGAGGGATCACAGCATCACAAGTCCTCCATTGCACTTTGATTTAAACACAGTAAAATTGGCTGTAAAATCAGCTCAATTGTCTCATCAGCTCAAAATGAAATGCACAGTTCATTTTATTTTTTGTACTTTTCCTTTATTTATCCAGGTTGATCTGATTTACTGTCATAATTGTGTGTAAGTAAGAGTTGACTGTGAATGCATCCTCCCTGCTCTGATTAAAATAACCACATTTAATTTTCAGATATTATTTGATATAAACTATAACTTCTTCAAAATAATGACATCAATACCTGCAGTTGAAGCAACTCTTTTCTGGTTTTCTCTGTTCCAACTCCCTGCAGTTTCTTGTCTAGTCAGCAGGTGTCATAGCTGAGGCTTTCTATTGAGGGAGATCAATTAGACTTGTTTATCATGAGATGGGTTTTAGCAGAGACGCAGCACTCTCGCAGCCTCTGGCCCACAAGCCTGCGTACACATCTGAAAAGGCACCTGCTCTGCAGCTTTGATCTGAAGTGGCTGCAGCATGCAGCGAGCCCACTGACCCCTGCAGAATGAGATCATCTGAGAGGGATGCTGCCCTGCACATCCTCGCCTGTGCAGAGACAGGGCTGGCCTACATGGTCCAAAGAAGGGTAAAGGGTGGAAAACCTGGAACTACTTTTTCTTTATTGTTATTTACTGATTTATGCAATTTGCACACAAGTAGCAGACCTTACTTCAGTAGTACTTCTGAAGCTCTTTATTACTGTTTTCCTTAGAACTGTTTAGTGACTAACTCTGTTCATCTGTATAGGGGACATTTTTTGAAATAGAAGAGAGATCTGGTGACACCGGTGTCTCCGGTGTTCGACGAGGATGAAATCATCAGATTTCTGGAAGGTTCCAAGAAGCAGCAGCTCATGTGCTGATGAAGGCTGCAGTGTTTGAACTCCTGCTCCGCACCGACTGCAGCAGACAGGCTGGAGGAACGCCAGTGAGGGAAAGGGAGAGCAGGCAAGAAGGACAGTTTTAGACGGTTGGAGAGAGAGAGGCAGAAAGAGTGAGGATAGCAGAAATGAATAGAAGGCAATCAAAGAGCAACAGCAGGGACTTTGTTTGACAGCCATGTTTCTCCACACAAACAATAAAAACACGTGCAAGTTTAGAAACACTTGAGGACTTTGTGGCAGGCCCAACAAACAGAAACACATTTGTTAGAGAGGAAAGTAAGTCCATGCTCAACAGTGTATCTGTTTCATCATAACATGATTGAAAGAGGCAGGGAACTGCAGACCCAACCAAATCCTCTTATCTGATTTAAAGCCATTAATCTTTTCTTAATCGTGGCGCAATTTTGGAATTCAAGTATTTTCTCAGGGACAGGTAAGCAAGCCAGATCCTGCTGTTGGACTCTGCATGGCTAATGGTCTTATTGCAGGGCTGTAAAACCCTTCCTGCTGACTGGGAACGGTTTGCTGCAGGTCATAAACTTTTTTTTTTTTTCCATTGGCCGGGACGTAATGCTGCTTGTTCTGAATTCTTATCATAATCTGGTCAAGGTACATTGAGGAAATACGTATTAGACATGTTGCCTTCTCAGTAAATACATCTTCAATGAGGCTATTGATATAAAATTTACAGCATATGGCAAGAAAAACCTAAATACTTTCCACCTGCAAACAGGTAGAAATATATAGGTCAAAACATTAAGTTATCTGAAGCAAAGTAGGAAGGCACAGCGAATGGTTATTGCTTTCTCTGAGACCAGTTGAGATGTACTTTGGGGTCATTTTCTCACTGAATCTTCACATTCTCCCCATAAATATCTATTCGCCCATTCTTCCATCCAATTGAAGCCTGCTAGTTGCACATGCTAAAAAGCAGCCCCAGACCATGATGTTCCCACCACTAACTTCACTATTGGTTGAGATTGATGTAATTTTATTCCCAGTTGACTGACTAATCTCTTTATCTTTAACCAAACTTGAGCATGATTCAGCATATAGATGTTGGTGTCTGGATACAATAACTATTGTTTTTGCAGTTCGGAGACTTGGAACGCAGTTTTTTCACTGTCTTTTTCAAAAATCGTGTGAGAGATACCTGTTCATGCCTAGTTAATGGTGAAATACTGTAAAGTCACTCCTATTTCTGGATAGTGTTCCGAACGCTGCTGAATGGAAGAGTCGGAAGTCTAAAAATATATATCTGTAATCAGTGATACCAGGATGATTTAAGGTGATAAAGACAGCCTTATGCTTTTACCTAACCTGATCTGCTTCTTGTGCCATGCCTCAAAAATAAGAAACCTTTTAATAGACCTTCAGTCGGGACTAAGCTAGATAATATTAACTGGCATTGACAGGGAACACGATTGCTAGTTTCTCGCCTTTCTGTGCTTTTTTGCAGATTAGTTTCTTCGTGCTTTCCCACTATGCCAGAATTCATGGAACTAATTGTTTTGATTCATTTTTTAAGCAGGGATCACCTTTGTTCATGTCAATATCCTGATTAGAAACATATTTAGTGGAAAAAGCAATGACATATTTAATACCAATTTTCATGTGGAAGAGCGTGACTCCTCCCTCTAGGCCGATGCGATCAATCATGCAGATTATCAAACACGCCCTGGAAAGCAAACACATGCAGGTCTCCATGTGCACACTGAAACAATGCAAAGGTCTTTTCACTTCTAGCTTGATATGCCCAGGGAAACAGACAACAGCCATTGTCTTCCACGAAAACCGATCCCCTCACCAGGCAGGGATCTGGCAGGTGCATTACAAACCCCTCATTCATTAGTTATGTAGACTCTGTATTTCAGTTACACGGGCAAACATCTTCTCATATTTGTCACCAGCACTTAATCTCTCAAAGTCCTCACTTCCCACTTAGGCACACATAGCTCCACCCTCCTATATATAGAATTATTTCTTTGTGGGTTAGCATCATAATGTGCAGTTGTGCCACGCACTGTACTCTCACTGCTGCGTTCAAAAAAAGTTACCTGACCTGCACTTGCCTTTTTGTGAAGGAAAAAGTACTAACTGCAGTGCTTCCATTTAAAGGGGAGTCATTCCTTCCTACTGCTGCCTTGTGCTTGTTGTTTTGACTTTTTTTTTTAGATCATTTTGTACCAATAAAACCTGAGCTGGATTGCATAATATTATAACTGAATCAGATTTTAAAAGTATACACTCAAATACATATTGTCTATGGTTGGTCTAATGTGATTAATAAGGCCCTAAATTAATATGTGTTGTTGATTGGCCCAGACTGAAATCAACTGAAAGGTACTCAGTTATAGGTGTGAGGAATGCCCACAGAGACGTAGGGGAAGTGACTTCAGGAAGTGACATCAGCCTTTTTCTTTGCTTGGCTAAATCGGCCTTTGAACCCTACGGCACACAAATTAAAATGGGTGACTGTAAATGTGATCTAGGTTGGGCACAACCTGATAAGAACGTATAATGTGGGACAGTTATTATACAAGGGCTGATAAGAAGGAAACATGGCAGTGATAGATTCAATGCTAAGTATATGCTCTTGCACACGAATCCATCTAAAACATGACTTAAAGATTAACTAATTACATATAACATTAATAATAAAAACCTTAGAATGTTATTAATGTTATTTGGGGGTCTAACATCATAGAGACTGGGTGTGAGTTTTGTTAATGATCATGTAATAACTCTGAGGTTTCCCTTCAGTCCAATATTTATTCACTTTCATCATACAGCCACAGGAAAACGCCCTCTTTCAAGGTCAAGAGTCATAAAACAGACCTTTTTTTATTACTTGAATCTTTTAATAAAGTAAACTTTTGCTCATTATTTGGTTTTATTTTGGGAAGCTTTAAGATGCTGCTATTCATCATGTCCCCTTAATTTACTATTTGACACGGCCCCCATGAAACCGCAAAGAAATCTCAAGGTTTGCTTTTCTGGAGCATGCAGAATGTGTGTTAACACAATTCTGAGGTGGTTAGATATGCTGGTAAAGTAATTTTTCCCACCCATCAATCTGGGAAGAGTTTTAAAACCATTTCCACCTCTTTAAAGATCAATGGCAAGAGGTTTATTTTCCTAATAGGAGAAAGAAAATGCTTTTTGGGAAGGGATATTCACCCCAAAGTCTAACCCTGAAATTGTTCATATGATTAATAAAAGGAAAATAATAATAATAATAATCAGGTTCTCATGCAAGACTACACGCCTTGGTTGGCATGTGGAACGATTAAGAGTCACAGTCATAAGAATAAACATGTTGGCATCATTTGCAAGGGTAAAGGAGAAACTATCAAAGGAGAATATAAGAGGGACAATTTAAATTTAGCAGTTTTTGTGTATGATAAGACGTTTGGAACAATTTACTTATTATTTACTGCTTATTTGCAGTTGTGGAAAAAAAAGCACCATGAGGTCATTAATTTTAATATAAACTACTCTTGGTTCTTAAGTACTGTACAGTTTAATAAAGACCACCTCCACAGACTTGACATTGGGATTTAAGAAGTTACTGCTGAGCCTGGTTCTGCTGGAAAAGGGAGTTTTTCTTCTCCACTG